AATAGGGCCCAGAGGTGGGATGTGGGGCCAGGGATGTGTGCCTCTTTTTACTGGACATTGGATTTTTTGCTGTGTGACTGATGAGGCCAGAGTGGGGCTCAGAGCCTGGAGACAGCAGCTCTTGCTCATTGCTGGCTGCCTCCCCGGTCCAGGCTGTGGATGGCTCCAGGGGTATTGCATTCCTTGGTTCCACAGTCTGCAGCCAGAATGGGCTCTGTGGGTGGCACACAGGGCCCCATTCTGGAAGGCCCAAGCCTGTTTCAAGCTCTGTCACCATCCTTCTATGGAACGCACACTGGCAGATTAACAAGAGGGAGGCAGCCCCTCTGTGTACCCATGTGGAAAGAGCTCTAGGATATGTTTTAAGAGCAAAAAATCAAGTTACAGAACAATATGTGAAGTATGACTCTGTTTATAAACAACAGATAATTCTTAAAACTATACACACACATGCAACCTTATTATTCAATTTTCCCCTCTATTGGCTGGTTCTATCCATCCATTTATGATTCTTTTAGGGTTAGCTGAGAGCCAGAGCAGGCATCCTTGATGTATTAATGTTTCCCACACATCACATTTTAACCCATTTCCCGGACAATGCAAGGACTGTAGAACATTCTCATTCTATTTACCCCCTCCCTGACTCATGTGCTGTTGTATCATGTATTTTAATTTTCTCTCTGTATTTTGAACATTAGTTGTATTGTTTTATACAACCAAGATTCATTTATACTTCTCTGTATTTCCCTTTCTATCACCCCCTTTCCTTTCTGAATATCCAAGCTCCCATCTGGGACCACTTTCCTTCTGCCTGAAGCTTCTCCTTATATTTATTTTTGTATTTGAACCATTCAGATGGTTCAAAATTCAAAAGAAGAGAAGTGTTCTATGATCGATGTCTCTCTCTCCCACCCCTGCCCCCAGCCCCAAACTATATATTTCCGCGTGTCCATGGAACATTACTTGGAAGGATACACACCACATCGAGAGGGGTAGCTTGTCTGTGGTCTGAAGCGTCTGCCTTGATAATATATTCCCGTCTCCAGTGTGCAAGGAAAAGTCAGGGTCTGGGACAGGCAGCCAGGAGACCCAGTCTCTGCTGACTGACAGCCTGTCACTGTGCCCACCTGTGCACACAGCCTCTTGGCATTGTCTAGGTCCTCTTTAGATCCTGGCCCCAGCCCTGTGGGCCGGGAGGGGCAAGGGTCCCCATTCCCAGCACAGCTAACAACCATGGCTTCCAGGTACCATTTCATATTTATCAGCTCATTCACTCCTCACAGCAACTATACCAGTACTGTCACCATTTTACAGGTGAGCCAACTGAGGACTTCACAAGGCAGAGGCAGGATTCAGACTAAATTCAAACAGCCCAGCTCCAGAGCCCAAGCAATTACTAACTCCATTTTACAGATGAGGAAACGGAGGCCCCAGAAGGTCGAGCCATGTGAAGCCATGCTTCACACAGTCAGGAGCAGCAGAGTAAGAACTTGCATCTGTGACTTTTGGGGTTGATATCCATCCCCCTCCCCCAAGACTAGTGGTTTTCCTATACGCATTACAATCACCCAGGGAGCTTTCAAAAATGCCATGTGCAGTTGTCAGCCAGACCAATCAAATCCAAATCTCTGATCCTATTTTTACACTCTTAGCCCTCTTTCCAGGAGCTTCTGAAGTGTAGTTAGGGTTGAGAACCACTGTCAAGGCCCACATATGGTCAGAGCTTGGGATCTGACTGCTTGGATTTAGTTTAATTCAGACTTTACTCCCAGTGATCTTGGGCAACCTGCTATTTCATTTCTGTGCTGCCTCAGTTTCCTCATCTGTCAGATTGGTTCATTGGAGTGTCTTTTTCATGTGAGGATTGAATGAGATAATCCATGCAAAGCACTTGGAACAGTGTCTGGCACAAAATCTGTTTTAAATTAACAGTATTATTATTGTTACTCTCTGTGTAGCTTTGTAGAAAGCTTGCCCTTCTCTCTTCAGGTTTTCCATCTGTGAAGGCACCTTGAGGTGTGGACTTCCTGGTCTTAAAGGCATCTTCCAGCTCCAATGTGCTCATGTCAACGTTAGCTGTCTGGTCTCAAGCCTTTTCTGCCTCCCCTACTCTTGAGAAGCCCAGTCCTGCCCATTTTGCATGGAGGCTGCAGCAAGCACATGCCAGGAGAACCAGGGACCTGCTTCTGTGGGTTGAGTCCAGCCTCTTATCATGGTGTTGACGCCGCTCACGGCCGTGACATGCTGGGCTGTAGGAAGAGAAATTGCCCATGGTTGGGGTGGTGGATGCAGCTCCAGCTGCCCCCAGAGAAATACAGAGGGGCCCGGAAGGGGGGCCCTCCACGAGGCAGGGCGGGGCACCTGGCAGAGCAGGGCACCCCATGCCCACTTCCTACTAGTGCCCAGAGCACATGGTGCCGGTCTTGCCACCAACTGCCATTCTGCACCAATGCATAATTCATGCCCCCATGTGCCAATCTGTGCCAGCTTTAATTAGCGCCTAACTTTTTGTCATTCATTTTGCTATGAATACCTTATGAATAAATGATGGGAGAGGGGAGCAGGGAGCGGGGCAGGAATGTGAGGGGAGGAGCCTGGCTCCTTAGGCCTCGTGGAGGAGGGATAAGCTTCCTTGGAGAGGCTAGGGAAGCCACGCTCTCAGGGCACACCCCACCCCCCACTCCACTCCCGGGTCGGGCCTCGGCTATGCAGATGGGTGGCCCCAGCCCACCCCATTTGCCTCCCAGCCTTGCTCGTTCACAAGCAGCATCCAGCCGCCACAGCTGTGCCAGGCTCCGAGGGCCCACAAACTAAACTCAGGAGCACACATGCTTGGTTTATGGTGGCAGGCGCTGCCCCGGGAGAGGGGAGCGGGCAGCATGCAGACAGGAAGCAACAAATCGGGCTCTGCCACAGCTCAGGGCTGGGAATCCAGGGGGGTGGCAGGAAACGTGAAGTGGGAGAAGGAGGCTGTTATGGAGGGCGCCCAGAGGAGAGGCGTTTATGTCCGTTAAAAATAATAATCGACCCTCACAGGGATGAGAGACTTGTTTGTGAGTGTGGTTTTGCTTTCACAGTTTATAAAGCACTCGAGCATGTGTTTTTCTCTTTCGTCCTGAATGGCAACCTTGGGAGGCACTCGGGGAGGCTGGGGGCTGGTGTGCCCATTTACAACTGAGGAGACTGAGGCTCAGAGAACTTATTTGGCTAAGACCCAGGTCCTCTGCGTTCTAGTCTCCTGAGCCTTGCATTACACCCCCTGCCTCACCTCCATTCTTGGGGAAGGAAGGAGGGGAAGAAAGCACCCCAGTCGGGGCTGGGGGACCCAGGGGGAAGCCAGTTCAGTCCCAGGTGGTTTAATAGGCTGGACAGATTGAAAAGAGCAGACTTGGATTCCCTTGGCTCCTTTCCTCCCGTTCTTTCTCACCAAGAGTGCCAGAGGGCCACCGGGGTATTTGGCATTTTAAGGACATAGAGACAGTGAAGCAGAGGTACCCATGCCTCCAAGATGCCAGCCCAGGGCCACCATGGGGCCACACAGTCTCCTCCTCTCCATCCTTTAGCTCATCATACTCTTCAGTATCATCATGCATCATACGGGGCATCTTTGCCTCCAAGCCCAGCCCCCTCTGCCTCCAGCATCATTTGCTGAGTGACCCCCAGGCCCAGGTGTGGCAGACCAGGCCCTTCATGGTCCAGCCCATGCCCCTCTCCTGAGACTCCTCTCTCACCCCTCCCGGCACATCTTGGTCCAGCCCTACTGCTCCCCTACCTGAAGTCTCTAAACCATGTGATGCCCCTGTGACTTGGCACACACACAGCCCCTCTCCCACAGATGCGCTTGCTGACCTTATCTGGCCAAGCACACTCATCTTACGAGGCTCTGCTTAAGTGGTCTCTCCTCTTGGAAGTCTTCCCTAGTTTTCTTGGTTAGGGTGGACTGTAACCTACTTGGAGCCTCTCTGTCACTGCTGACCCTGGTCCTGGCTTCGAGTAGCATTGTCTTATGCCTCCCAGCTACTTATTTCTGTAGCTGTCATTCCAACTGGACTGGACTGAAGCTTCTCTGAGGGCCAGAAGAGGCCATATGCTTCTCTGTGTTCTCAGCCCCCAGTCCAGAGCCTGGCACACTGTGGACCTTCCAGGAATGCTTGCTAGATGAATGAACAAAGACTTTGTCTCTGCCTTTGAGGATCCTAAAGTCAAAGGTGTCTCTGACCTAAAGATGAACTTGAACCCTCTACAGAGATGTGGCCACTTCTGGAGAAACAAGGACAAGGTCATTCTGAAATAGAAAGAGCCAATATATCAATTCTTTCTCTTCTGTCTTTCCTTCCTCCCTTTCCTTCCCTCCCTTACTTCCCTCCCTCTTTCCTTCTATTTCTTCCCTCCTTCCTTTTTTCCCTTTCTTTCCTTCTTTCTTAAATTTTGGAAAAGAAGGGATGGAGGTACCTTGGCAAATCTGACCCCATGTTGCACTGTAATCCCCTACAACTGACAGGAGAATCTTCATATGGTCTGTACCTGGCAGGGTTCTCATAGTTGCTAGCAACAGAAATAGACTCTGGCTAGCTGATGCAGAAAGTGAATTTGCTAGTTAGATAAGGGAGAGTTCTTACAGAATCAAACAGAGGCTGGAGGACAGGCCCAGAACACAGAGAGGGACCAAAGAAGGCAGGTTGCCAAGAACACAGCTGAGAATGAAGCCCAGGTCAGGCCTCAAGTGCTGGCAGTCAGGGTTTGGTACTTTCCATAACTTCTGAACTGTTCTAAACTATTTCTAAACGTTGTGATTCTCTTCAAGGTTCAAAGTTGAGAGGGGAGCTTCTGATTGGCTGTCCTGGGCCACGTGCCGTGCCCTGTGGCCAGGAGGTGGGTGACGGAGGACCTTCCTTCAGTTGTCACAGTTCGAGCAGGGCCTGGTCCTTCCTCAACAGGGAGCTCCCCCCCAGGAGGAAGGAGGTCTGCAGGATGCTGGGCCCTGAGCTGGTAGCATCTTTATGGTTCTTTATGGTTGTCAAGGTGCTCCCTCACTGCCCCAGGAGGAAGGCTGGGCAGGCATCATGATTGTAATTGCAGAATGGAAACCAGAGCTCAGAGAGGCTGAGAGACTTGTCCAAAGTCACATTAAGAGGTGCCCCACAGGTTTGGGGCAGAGGCAAAGGTTTCCTATGGAGAGGCAGATGGGGAGAACTCTGGGCTCTTGGTGGACAACCCTGAAATGGTTTGAGAGATGGAAACTCCAGTCAGGAAGAAAGGCTGGCATTCCAGGGAATAATCCCCTAGAGAGGAGAGGGCACTGGCTCAGGGGATAGAGGTTGAGTTCCCTTTACCAGCTCTGAGTCTCCTGCCGATGCTGCCGTCTCGCATTTGGCTGTTTCGTGTGTGGATAGCAGGGCTGCTACTCACCTACAGGGTCAGAAAGCTCCCACGGCTCCTGCGGGGAGAGTCCACATGCATGTCCCGGGACCTTGCTCACACACTTCCCTCCACCCAAGACGCCGCTGTGCTTTTGCTCCCTGTGGAATTCCTGTTCATCGCAGCAAAACTCAGCCCTGAAGTCTCTTGGTCCAGACAGCTTTTCTGGACTCAACCTTCCTGAGAATCCATCACCCCACTCTCCTTGGGCTACCTCTCCGCTTTGTGACACTTACCTTGTCAGCCTGTACCTGATTTATTTATCTGTCCCCTCTTGGACTGGGAGCGCCTCAAAGACAGCCTGTTATTCACAGCTGTGTCCCCAGTGTGCAGTGCGGGTTTGTTCCTAGCAGAACTGTTCCCGGCTCCTCTGCTATGCTTCAAATCACAGCAGGACTGGCCCCAAATCCCACTTGGGTCTGCAGCTTCTGGCTGGGGTCAGCCAAAGAGAGGTGCTGGGGGAGACCAGAGCTGAAGGCAAGAAGCCAGGATGTCTCTTCTTCATCCTTGACCTTAAGCAGTGTCTCTCGTAGTAACTGTGTCTCCAGCTCCCACCTGCCAGCTCCACTGTGCTCCCATCTTGTGCTGTGTGACCCTGATCCTGGTGACTGCTTCCTCTCTGTCCCTCCAGCCTAGGGTGGGTAGCAGCTTTCTGCTGTTGCTGAACTGAGTCACCTCAGCATCCCCTGTTTGAATTCTCGGCTCTTCTGTCACTGTATGACCACAGTTGCTTTGAATCCCCTATTATGCATTCAAAGCAGTTCTGTGGGCAGGCTGCACTCAGACAGACACCCCAGGTCCTAGCACAGATCTTGGCACAGAGCGGGCACTTGACAAGTGCTTATGGAATAACCTAAGAATTTCTATGAACAGAAGTATGATGCCCACATTGGAGGAGGTGAATTCAGCTGAATTCAGTGCTGTTTTGTTCACTTGTAAAATGACTGCAGAAAGCCTGGGGAGCCATAGTTTGAGAAAAGGTGGCAAACCAGAAAGAAGCAGGATTTAAGATTGGAGAAACTTTGAAGAGTACCTCTTCCAGTAGTTTCATTTTATGAATGAGGAATAGAAGTCTTATGAGAAGTCATGTCTAAGTCAAAACCAGTTAGAGAGCCATCTGAAATTCAGAAACCAGATCTCCCAACTCCTGGCTCTATCACCATCTGACACTGTGACTCCCTGAGACCTGCCAGACCACATCTCCAGCCCTGCCCTTTGTCCTCAGGCCCCAGACTTCTGTGTCCAGTGGCCTCCCTGACCTCTGCACTCAGTCACTGCACTGGCCTCTCACAGTCTACACACCCTGGTGGGGTGGGGGTGCTCTTGCTCCTCTTCCCTCACTCCCCATCTCAGGGAATAGCACCCTGTCCATTTATTTCCACAAGCCAGTAACCTGGGGTCTCCATAACATTTCCCTCTCTCTCCCCCCAGCATCACTCCGTCTCCCAAGTCTGTAGATTTTTTACCTCCTGAATATCCTTTCCCTCCATTTCTACATCACCATCCCAGACCAGGACTCTAATACCTGGACAGCTGAGATAGCTTACAGAGATGTGAGCTCTGGGGGCCGGGGGCGGGGGGGGGGAGGCGGGGAGGAATTTGTGTGCATACATTTCTGTGCATGTTTTATTCACTGATGTATCCCAGTGTCAAGATTCCCAGGGGTTAGCAACTTTTTTGCAAAGGAGCAGATAGTAAATATCTTAGGCTTTGCAGACTGGAGAATCTCTGCTGTAACTCCTTAACTCTGCAGTTTTACTGTGAAAGGAGCCATAACCTGATGGACATGTCTATGTTCTGCTAAAACTCTCTGTACAAAAATGAGGGGCAAGGTGGATTTGGTCTGAAATGTGTGGTTTGTTCCTGGTTGAGAACTTCCTGGCACACAGTAGATGGTAAGTAAATATTTCCAACTGAAGAAAAATGCTCTTATCATCTATCACCTCCCAATCAGTTCCCTGTTTTTCCTATTTTCATGACACTCCCACCCCTCAACCTTCATCCCAACCATCTGCTTCAAAGCCTCCACTCCTAGGATAGAGATCAAACCCTGATGAAGCCAACATGCTCTGTATGTCTGGGCCCTGCTCTCACTGTGGCTTTACACTCCCTGACCTCCTCACCCTTTGCAGGGCTCCAGCCCCTCTAGACTTCCTTCACTTCCTTATGTATACCAGTTCCTTCCCACCATGAGGCCTTTGCACATACTGTTTCTTTTGCCTAAAACCCACTCTCTCTCTCCCCATCATGCATCCCTCAGATCTCAACTCAGAGTTATCTCCTCCAAGAAGTCTTCCCAGGTCCCCTAGGCCAGGGGACCATTAAAATATTCCTCTTCCCAGCACCGATTCTGACTGTAATTTTACCTTATTATGTGTTTCATTGACTGTTTTTCCTGTTAGAGAAGCTCTACAAGGTACAAGGACCAAGCCTATTTCTTCCTCTGACACATCCCCAGAACCTATTTCAGTTAGCTAGCGTATAGTAGCAATAATGAGTAAATGGTAAAGAACGGAGCTTTGGAAGCAGGCAGATTCTAGGTTCAGTACCTGACTCCACCACATGGGTAACTCATGCACCTCCCTAAAGCCCGTTTTATTCTGGTAAAACCACGCTAATGACACACCTACCAGAAAAGCTGTGTTGAGATTAGCATGAAGTCAGGTCAAAAGTCTCAGCCCAGAGCCTGACTCCAGGCAGCTATTGTCAATATGCTGATACAGGTCCAGACATCCAGTCAATGATATATGGTTAAAAGAATTCAGAATGTTTAGCCCTGGGAGGTAAAGATCAAGGTCAGGGAATGACCATCTTCAGCTATAGACTCTTCCTGTTTCCAGCTGTCTGGAAAAGTCATGAAGTCTCCATCCTTACATATGTGCAAAAAGAAGCTGGGAGACCCTTATTCAGGTGTGCACCTTGCATGGGTGAGGGTGCCCAGGTGACATCACCGGTTTCTTCTAATTCGGGGCCCCTCATTTGTAAGCAACTGGGGACATTTTCAGTTTTGATTGATGGAGGGGGCGCAGATGGGAGAGCATGAGTAGGGTAGGCAAAGGCAGCTGGTTGAGCCAACACAGCTAAGTGGTCCCAATGACTAGAGGGACAGCCCCGCTCGGCACTCAGCGCGACTTTGGGAGCAGAGAGGGGGCGCTTAAAGCCAACAGATGGCGCAGGCTTACCTAGACCCGGGCGCCCGTTCGTTCTGGCTTCCCGGGAGCGTTTCCCCGTTCCGCCCGAGGCCAGCCTGGCCCCCACCCCTCTGAGGGACAGTGGGCGGCCCTGCGGAGCGCGGCTCCCTCAAGCACCTGGGGCTGCTTTCTCCGGCTTCCTGCCTGCCCCTTTGGGGGATTCGTCGAGTTGCCACAGCAGCCGGTGCCATGACATCGGCAGAGGGCAGTTTCGCCAGCACTGAAATATTCATGCCCTAAGCGCCTGGCCCCGGCTTCGCGCCGCTCCCGGGGTCCGAGCGGGGTCAGGGGGTGGGGGCTCAAGGATCCTGGCGCCCACCGTGGTGGGATGGTGGGCGGCGGGGGCGGCGGGGCAGGCAGGGGCTGGGCGAGGCGGGAGGTGAGGGAGGGAGCGTCAGGAGGCGGGGTCTGGGTGGAGGGGGCCGAGCAGGGCGGAGGAAGCGAGGGAAAGTTGATCGCGGACTTGAGCCGCGGCGGAGGCTCGGGAAAGAGGGCTGCGAGCGCGATGCTTGGTGAGAAGACGAGTCCGACAGCTGCCGGGCGCTGATCCCGGCGGGGCGGGGCGGTCCGGCCCCGGGCATGGGACACCGGGGTGCCGGGCTTCGGGACGATTGGGGCGCGCCTCGTCTGAGCTCGCGGCGCGCCTGAAGTTGCGGCCGGCAAGCAGCCAACAGAGAGCGGACGGCCGAAGGGGACCCAGGAGCGGCCAGCGCGCCGCGGATGAGCCTTCGCACCGGCGGCGAGACACGGCTGTGGTCAGTACTCGAGCAGGCGGCCTTCCGGGGCCGATCCAGCGGAGAGCAGAGCCCAAGGCGCGGCGCCGCTCCGCACATGCACACGGTACCAAGAGCCACGCACCGCCCCTTCCTTCCCCGCTTCCCTCGCCTTCTCCGAGCCGTTCACCCGCCACGCGGTGGGAAAGTTGGAGCCGTGGGGTCGCGACCGTAGCCGCTGAACCACTTGTTCTCGGCACGGCCATCGCCCTCGGCGGGCGCCCGGGGCCTCCTTCCCTCCCCGGCTCCCAGCCAGCATCCTGCGTCCCACTCCCAGCCCGCGGCTGGACGCGCGGCAACTTTGATTCCTGGCAACTCGAATTCCCTCCGCGTTGGCCTTGGGAGGAAAGGCACTCCACTTCCCACCTCGCTTCCTGGACCCGGGGACGTTCGTGCGCTTTGCTTTCTGCGCCTCACAGAGGGTCTGGGTCTGGGGTGGGGAGAATTTCGAGGGCAAAGAGGGCGTTGGGGTCCGATCTCGTCTCCTTCTGCGCTCTGGATCCCCCTTTGGACAGTGGAGATGGGGTGGGGCATAGCCCCACCGCGGGGTAGGCGTCGGCACTGGAGGGACCTAAAGTCACGTAGCTCTCTCCCCTCATCACCTCTCCGTGCCGGCCAGAGACCCCAGAGGACTCCGGCTCTGGGCCGGCTATGGGAAGACGCACGCCTCGAGGAGCAGGGCGCCTGTGCGGCTCGCGCTTTGCCTTCCCCGGCCACCTGCAGTGCTGGTTGTCCCCAGGGGCTTGCTCTCAAGAACGCAGCCCCCGTCTCCCCTGCAGGTCAGCCCGGGACGCCTGCAGAACCCGTGCGTGCCAAGGTGGTGGCGGCGCCAGCCGGAGGGCTCTCAGTGCCTCGCTTTCCCGCGGAGCCAGCACCTAGAGCCGCTACCTCCGTGCCTGCGGCCGAGATCCTGTGCCCTTGCCGCCGGCCACC